GCTATCCACACTCCAGAATCTGACACGGCCTGGCAATGAGACAGGGTACTGAAGTTCCCAGCTAGCCTTTCTAAACCACTCACTCAGAAATCCCCTTCCTCTTTCAAAGGTAAAGATTTTAGGGGCCTCCCAGGGGGCGCATAGACAAAACCTATGAAGCTATTTGCAGCTATTGCAGCATGAGTTTAATCCCTGACCCAGTGAGCTACCCACATGGTGCAGCAGACCTCTCCTCACTCACCCACTGCTCCCCTCAGCGGTGTATTTCAGTCAATATGCTTGTTCTGTTCCCCACTCTGTCTCTGGTGAATCCTCTCACCCTCCTGCCCCCGCATCTCTGGCCTATGCCCCAGTTCTTGCATGCATAAATAAATAAATCTTTAAAAAAAAAAAAAAGCAGGGCCTCCCCGGTGGCACAGCGGTTGAGCCGCTGGGTTGTGAAGCTGCCCGCAGCCTCTGCGGCGCCCGCTCTATCCCTGGCTGCTCCCCGGCCACCGGAGGAGGGTCCCACAAGGCGCGCAGACCTCTCCTGCCGCCCGCTGCTCCCCTCAGCAGTGTACTTCGGTCCTTCTGCCTGCTCTGCTCCCTGCTCTGGCTCTGGTGAATTCTCTCACCCCCCTCCCCACCCCCACGCTTCTGACTGTACCCAGTGCTTGTATAAATAAATAAATCTTTTTTTAAAAAAAAGCACAAATCACTGCATAAAGACAGTGTTCCCATTTCAGTTCACCTTTAATCCAATTAAGGCAAAAAGAAAGCCTCAGATTGGTTGTTGGTGCGTTTCAAGTCACTTTCTATTGTTACTACTACTATATATTATTAATATTTCTTTAAAATGTTTTGAAAGTTTCTACAAGAGATGTTTAAAGTTCTCACAATACACAATTATAACTATGTGAGGTATCGTATTGCTACAATCACTTTGCAATATATACATATATAAAATCACTACATTGTATACCTTAAACTTACACAATATGATATATCAACTGTATCTCAATAATGTTGTGAAATAAATAACTTTTAAATTTGTTAGTATTGTATTTATTTTTACCATTACCTTTTGCTCACAGCCTGTGGTACTGGTTTCTTGTTTGAATAATATTACATTTCCTTTTTTTTTTTTTTTTTAAAGATTTATTTATTTATTTATACAAGCACTGGGTACAGTCAGAAGCGCGGGAGGGTGAGAGAATTCACCAGAGCCAGAGCGGGGAGCAGAGCAGGCAGAAGGACCGAAGTACACTGCTGAGGGGAGCAGCGGGTGGCAGGAGAGGTCTGCGCGCCATGTGGGAACCTCGCCTGGTGGCCGGGGATCAAACCGGTGCTGCAGAGGCTGCGGGCAGTTTCGCAACCCAGCGCTCAACCACTGCGCCACCGGGGAGGCCCTACATTTCCTTTTGAGATAAACTTAAGTTAAAAAAAATAAAGCAGGGTCAATGAAAGCGACCATTTATGACCCTATATCAAGTGGCTACTCTCTGCTTTTGTACCTCATGTATGTTATTGGTAATTTTCCCAACAATTCTAAGAATTATTGTCTATTTTACAGCCGAGGTGACTGAGACCCCAAAATGCTAAGTAACGTGCATAAAGTCAGATGTCTACTAAGTGACTGAACAAGGATTTGAAACTACCGTTGTTGGATTCTGAAGTTCATCTTCTTCCATTGTCCCACCTGCTTCCTCGCCACCGGAATCTAACCTCTGATCCCACTCAGGAAACAGTTCAAAGTTTGGCCACAGCCAGTAGCCTTTGCGCAGACTTCCCTGTGACCTCTCTGCCCCACGGGCCACTTTGTCCTTTCTGCGTTCCTCTCCTGGCTGCCTTTATTCAACTTCTGTCCCCTTCCTGCCCTTGTCTTCTGTGTTAGCTTCTGCCCCCCATCTTCCCAGGCGTTTGCTCCTTTGTTTCTCATTCAGCTCTACATTGTTTGAAGCAGCACACTTGGTAACGCAGACCCCGCTCCCTGACGTGGCTAGCTCTCCCCGATGGTCAGCTGAAGCTCTAGATAGAAGAAAACGCTGAGAGCGACGTTCTGCCTAACTGTACTGAGTTCAAACATTGATCTTCAGACTCCAGCTAAAATGTTGCCTCTTCCTGGTTCTTGAGTCTGCTCTCCTGGTTCTCAGACCTTTAGATTCTGACCAGAATTATGCCATCAGCCTTCCTGGGTATCTAGTTTGCCAACTGTAGATGTAGTCTCCCTAATCACAGAGTCATTTCCTTAGAGTAACCCAATCTCTCTCTCTCTCTCTCTCTCTCTCTCTCTCTCTCTCTCTCTCTCTCTCACACACACACACACACACACACACACACACACGCACACTCTGCTGCTCCTGACCAATACACTAACCCTAGCAATTCCTCTCTTCCTATCCTCAGCTCCTTCCCCTTCCCACCGCTGCCACCCTGGCTCAGAATCTCTCCCGCCTGGCTGGACTATCACTGGAGCTTCCTGACATCACCTGGCCTCCTGCATCTCTCTCTTCCCAACCTCCATTCTCACTATGTTAGAGTTACTCTTCCAAAACCCTTTTCTAATGGCAAATTTCTTGCTGAGTCTTCATAGCTGAGAAAACCAAGCCAAGCTTCTTAGGACAATGTTCAAAGTTTATCATGACTCAGCTCACCTGAGTCTTCACCCCTTTCACCAGCCACCTCCCAGGGTTTGGAGAAACTACTATGTATCATTTCCCCATCCTTGTGCTTTTGATCACTTTTTTCTTCTAGCTAACCACCCAGAATCACTGCCTATCCAAAATTCCTTTTCCTCTTGAGGTACAGCTACAATTATATCTCTACTTAAAGCCCTCCTTAATATTCTTTTTTTTTTTTTTAAAGATTTATTTATTTATTTATACAAGCACTGGGTACAGTCAGAAGCCGGGAGGGTGAGAGAATTCACCAGAGCCAGAGCAGGGAGCAGAGCAGGCAGAAGGACCGAAGCACACTGCTGAGGGGAGCAGTGGGAGGCAGGAGAGGTCTGCGTGCCATGTGGGACTCTCCTCCGTGGCCGGGGAGCAGCTGGATCGAACCAGCTTCGCTTTGCAACCCAGCACTTAATTCTTAAAGTAAAAGAGCTTTTTTTCCTTTAAACCCATGACTTCCCTCCTTTAAGTTTTTCAAAATCTGAATTGTATATTCTTATTTGTATATATTCTGTCCTCTCTTATTCTTGAGAGTGGAGGTTGTATCTAATTCATCTTCATCTCCCACACAGCCTAATATAATGTATTATTGGACAAATGAGTATCATCCCAAGTGGAATAAAATTTGAAAGTTAAATATAGTATGAAAGCCAGACACAATATTTCACAGATGATTTAAGAATATAATTGATATCTAGATTATAAATTGGTGGCAAATGCCAAAAAGTCACTTTTTAAAAAGATGTCTGCAGTATATGCAAGTTGCTATAATCGGTGATTCTTAAACTCTATGTCCATTAGAATCACCTAGAGAACTTAAAAATATTATCATACCTAGTCCCACTCCTGACCAATTAAATGCTGGGTACTAGTTATTTTTTAAGCCTTTCCAAGTAATTCTAACATGTCATCAAAGTTGAAAATCATAGGCTGTAGGGGATGGCAGCTGGATTTATTTCAGTTTGGGTTTGAAGATGGCCAGGAGAATACTTTTCTATTGATAAGGACACTTTATTTGATCTTTGGTTATACAAAGGCAAGGCAAACCCTAGTCTGAAATGGAGAAGATGGGGCGAAGAGGGGCTAAACAAATCTCCAGAATAACGTGACCAATAACTTTTGTCAAGCACTCATTCACTTACTCATTAATCCTTATGATACCCTCTGAAGCAAGAACTATGACAGACTGAAGTTTGTAACTGAGGAATCGGAGGCTTACAGATATACTATAGTTTATCCAGGTAAGTAAGGTGAGTAGCTGATATGTGAAGACCAAAAGAGACTCAGGCTCAGAGCAAAATGGAAGAAATCACGGCACTCCAGTCTGCTGGGAACTTGTGTGCACAGACATATGTGTAAACGTATGTGGGAGGGGTGTGGGTGTGCAGACACATACTAGTGTGTGGCTTCTACAGATACTGAATACAGGAACAGGAGGGCAGGGGATCAGACGGAGAAAAAGAGAAGAAAAAAAAACTCTAAATAAGAAAAAGCAGCCTCGGAGACAAGCTGGCGGGTTGGGTCCAAGGACAGAAAATGTCAGTCTGAGACTCTCAGGGAGAAGCAGAGCCCTGGAAGTGCTTTAGGAAGGCAGTAAATTATACCATTTGCAAGCATTCTTTTTGGCTTTTTAACTCCCTTACACTCATCTTTAGTCTTCGGCTAAGTTAGTGGTCACTCCCTGAGGCCAGAGAGACGGACATTGACTGGGCTAGAATCCAGAGCGACCCGCAGCCCAGGCAAGTGTGGATTTTGGTAGAGAGAGAGGAACCAAGTCACAAGGAGAATTCATACAGTGTACACTGAGGCAGAGAAGGTCCTTTCCCCCAAATATAACAGAAGCAGCACCCTGAGTTGAGGGGTGCCTGGACACTGCTATGGCTGACCATGATTACCCGGGAGGTGTCTGGCGCATTCTGTGCACTGGAGCCGACACACAAAGATCAACAGAAGTTATAAATAAGGACTTGGAATGTGAATTACCTTGGAACCAAGCCACACTCTACTTCTCCAAGGTCTAAGGGGAGAGGCCAGAGTCCCCTCCAAGTTTGAGTCAGTTCCTCCATGTGATATAGTGGGAGAGGTAGGAGTCAATATCACCTGAGATCGAACTACTGAAGCTACGCTGAACTTCTTTGGATCTTATTTTCCCTATCTGTAAAATGGAAATAAAAATATTGACCTCATGCCATTGCTGTGAGAATTAATAATGCACGCTGTCAGCCACAGGGCTGGAATTAGAGAGGCCCCGTGATGCTGCCTCACTTACCTCCTCGCCCCAGGCTTCCTAACCCTGCTCCCCAAGCAGTCGATACCCAAGGGAGTGGTCCTCGGGAGGCCAGAGCTTACCTTTGGTGAGGGAGTGAATTCCCAGCTTGACTTGGGAAAAGTTCCCACTTCCGATTTCCCCGCGGATTCGGTAGAAGCCGATCCGTTTGCCCAGCGTGATCTCTCTCACCACCTTCTCATCTTGGGACATGTCCTGGGTCAGCTTCTCAAAGGGTGTCAGCTGGCGCGGCTGCCCCTCCTCGTCCTCCTTGCCGCACTCTGTCTGACAGGCACTTTCCACACTGTCCCGCCGGTCCCACCTGGCATAGTGGGTGTTCACCAGGCCCCCTCCATTCATACACACGGCTGTCATCGTGCCCCGCAGACTCACGTCTCCATGTCAGTAAAGAGGCACCAATCAAAGGCAGGTCTGCAGGAGTGGAAGAGGCCCAGGCGGGGAGAGAGGAGGTAAGCCTGCCAGAGACCCGTGTCTGGGAGAGCTGGCCGGCGGAGCCGGGCAGAGGGAGCCCCCTTCTCAGTTTCAGCCAGAAGAGGGCAGAGTCAAATGCATCAGCTGAGTCTACCCAGCCACGTCAAAAGCTGCCCGCCTCATTTGGGACATTTCACACCTGCCGTCAAGTTGAAGTCCCCAACGCTGACCGGACCATCAGGCACACATCCAGTTGCCATGGCCACTTTCTGGAACGGGCTCCAGAAACTTTCCAGCTGGCCCTGCAGGCTGTAGCTCCATGGGGGGTGGCTGTGTCCCAGGACAAACTTTCCAGCGTGCTATTTCCTTGGATGGCTGGAGACTGCTTCACTCTGATTCATGAAAGCCCCTTGGAGGCTGCCAGGTCCCTGTTGCTGGTGCTTATCTTGCACTATCTTCATTTTGTGCTTCTCTTGCTGACAAGAGACCTAATAATCTGGACTCCAGGAAAGAAGAAGCTTGCAAATCAGCCTTGGGGTCACACAGGCAGCCAGAGAAGGATTAAATCCCTGCAATGTCACTTTAGCTGGCCTTTATTTAGATGAGCCTTCCCCTAAGCTGTGAGCTGTCTCAAAAATTTGGCAGGTATTGGTTCATCCTAAGAACAAAGCATAGGAAAATTTATTAGCCCATCTTAATGTACTGTACAGGACTTATAATGAATGTGAAACTTTTGTAAGCAATGATTTAAAAACACTATAAATTTATGACTCATATTAATAAGCAGACACTTGATTATATATGACTTAGTGAGAAAAGAAATGTACATATATACACTCCTCAACCTACATTTTAGAAAAGCCCCTCACAGCCTGTAAATATTTCTAGCAAAACAACTGTTTTTTAAAATTTTTTTGTTGCTTAGGAATAGATATATGTTGCCTTGGTTTGCTTTAAAGTCAGACTTTAGAATAATAATATGAGAGTAATGATGATAAAGATTTCCTATGAATATCAGTTTTCAAAAGTTCTTACATTTATTCAAATAATAAGGTGTTTTTCCTTTACACTTAATGTTCTCGTACAATTTTTCGTGTTCGAGTCATTTCCACTCTGTCAATGCCTGTCATTCTATGACAAAGGCTCATTTTTCTCCTAGGCTTATGCTCTGGGTATTTCTGATCAAGTGTCAACCGCTAAGGCTGGAAGCTTACTTGAAGGTACAGAAACAGGTAAAGTAAATGGACGGTAAAAGCCTAGGGCATTCTCAGTGATCACTAATATATCTTCATGACTTCCCCCCCCCACCCCGCACCCTCCAGTAGGAAATAATCTATGTGAACCGCACAGCTTTTTCCAAAATGTGTTATTTCCAGGAAGGTGGGAACTGATTTTAGCTCATCTTTATGTTCTGTTTCCTGTCCCCCAAACATGGAGCATGATGTCCTACATAGAGAAAGTGTTTGGGTGGATAAAGGTGAACTTGATTTTGGGATATGAGCATTCTGAACCAAAACCTTGAGTGAAAACATGAGAGGTTGCTTTGGAAATGTGAATTTCCAATTCCGCTTGATGGTATCACATTATTATAATTAAGTGCAGAACTGCTTATATTGTCAACATGGTTACCTATGTGGTTGCCAAATAAAGATAAATAAGGACAAGAAAGAGGAGACCATTGCCCAGCACTGCTCTTATTTCTGCACTGGGGGAGGGGAAGCTAGAAGAAAGATAAAGGCTAGAAGTTAAGCACAACTCTAGGCTAGAGTCTGATAAGGACGTTTTGAAAGATATTCTGAAGATGAAAGATCCTTAATTAGGTTGAGGAAAATCTAAATCATTGTTTTTTTTTAATTAATTTATTTATTTATACAAGAGCCAGGATACAGGTCAGATTTGCGGGAGGGTGAGAGGATTCACCAGAGACAGAGCGGGGAACAGAACAGGCAGACCAACGAAATACACTGCTGAGGAGAGCAGCAGGTGCGAAGGGAGAGGTCTGCCGTGCCATGTGGGACCCTAGCCGGCTGGCTGGGATAGAACTGCGGACAGCTTCACAGCGCTGTGCTCAATTGCCTGCGCCACCAGGGGAGGCCCTAAATCATTGGTTCTTAATGGGATTACAGAATTTATTTATTAGTTTATTTATTTATTTATTTATTTATTTATTTATTAACATAGATTACTTACTGGGATTACAGAATTTCCTTTGCGATTTTAATGAAAATCTATGACTTTATCCCCTGGAATAAAAGCACACATGCATAATTTGTTTCCAATTTTAAGGGGCTCATGGATCCTCTGAAACCCATCCTTTTGCCTAAGATTAAGAATCTCTACAAAGGGGCCTTCCTGGTGATGCAAGGGGTTGAGATGCAACCTATGAAGCTAGCCACAGCCACTGTAGCATGAGTTCGATTCCCAGGCAGGGAGCTACCCACATGGCGTAGCAGACCTCTCCTGACTCGCCCGCTGCTCCCCTCAGCAGTGTGTTTCACTCAGTCAGTTCTGCTCCCCGCTCTGTCTCTGGTGAATCCTCTCACACACACACCCACACCTCTGTCCTGTACCCCAGTTCTTGTATGCATAATAAATCTTTAAAAAAAAATCTCTACAGAGGTGGTGGGATCTGGAGGAAGGGTTGCAAAGGTGGCAAGAAGCCCCGAAAACAGCGCAAGGAGCAGGGCCAGGAGATGAAAGAGGAAGATGAGCCCTTCAAGCAGAAATAGAAATAGGAGCAGAAGGAACTCAGGGGGTTAAAAGTGAAGGTTGCAGAATCTCTGGTGAATCCTCTCATCCCCTGCACTTCTGGCCTACACCCAGTTCTTCTATGCATAAAATAAATAAATAAATAAATCTTCAAAAAATAAAAGCAAAGGTTGCAGGAAGAGGCCGTCTGGCCCTGGGTGGAATTAAGAAAATCTGGCAAAGAGTAAACTGTTCCTTGTGCTGAGGCCACAGTGATCATTAATGTTTTTCCTGTTTAAACACTGGATTCCCTGCCATAACATCTGTTGCAGCCAATAGCTAGAATGAAGTGTCTTGGAGCCTGGTGTGCATTTAAGAATAAATTCAAATGTCCATTGTAGATGACAAAGAAAAAAAAAAAAAAACCCTTTACAAAGATAAATCGTAGTGTCAGATCCCTGGCAGGAAGAGACCTACAGATAAGAAGTGGGTGACTTAATTGTAATTGCGAAAGAAACATTAGCTTAACCTATGCAGAGAAGTGAGGGTTTTAGGCAGGATGTGGTACTTGATCACCTCGTGTCTCTGCAGAGCCCAGTTGGCCAGCCTTCCTCGGCCCTTCACAGACAGTCAGGCATGCCTTTCTCAGCACCTCACCAGGGTGCTGTCACTGTCCTGACCTGCTTGTATCCCAACCACATAAGTCCCTGGAGGGCAGAAGCCTGGCTTTTGTTCTGTCTCCCAGAGCTCAGCGCAGTGCCTGGCATGGATTCCACAAACATTTGTTGAAGAAGGAATTAACTTACCAACTTATTGATCATTATATTTGGGTATGATTTAAATAAATATTTAAAGTAGAAATACTAAATAAATATTTAGTAGAAATAAATATTATTACTTACAGATTAATGACTATTATTTAAAGTAGAAATACTAAATATTTAGTAGAAATAAATATTATTACTTACGGATTAATGACTATCCCAACAATGATCTCTGAAATCATTTCAGTGCACACTTCCCAGCTCTCTTCACTGGCTACTCTCCACTGGCTACTAGGATTCCTGGTCCATCCCCTTGTGTAGGTGAAGGTTCAGTCTTAATTCCAACACCCCATGGAGAACTGTGAACTGGAACTTCCAGGACACTTCTTAGAAAAGCGAAATCTACCCCATTCTTGTCTCTTCCAAAAGATGCAGCTCTCTCCAAACACCCAGGTGTCAGCCCCGCCCCCTCCCGTCAGCCCTGACGCCTAGTTCACTGATGGGCTAGGACTTCTCTGCTTTCCCCCCCAACCCCCCACTCTAACCATGTGAGCTCTGGGTCTTGGACTCCATCCAGGCCTGGGCTTTGCAATTGGGTTTGTTGTTGTTTTTTAAAGATTTATTTTATTTATTTTTGTGTACAAGAGCTGCAATTGGGTTAAACTCTCTACTCTGGTTCACTTCAGGAGCCCCCAGGAATGTGTCTCCTGGCCCCTCCCAACTAGACATAGAGGGAGGGATAAGACTCCATTGCCAAGTGCAGTCAGACTCTATCTTGGTACAGAGAGGCCATACCCTGTGCCCACAACTTAAATTCTGGCACAATAAACTTGAACCAATTAATTATTTTGCCTTAATGGCCAGGCAGAGTTAATCTTCTATTTAGATTAGATAAAGCAGTTTTTACAATTTTGCAAAGGTTGTTATGTGTTTGTGTTGATGATGAATGCAACTAGTTGGGACAGCCCAGCCAGCCAGCCGCTTCTGGGCAAAATTTATCCAAAGAAAACAAAAACACCTAACTCAAAAAGGTAGCTGCACCCCATGTTCACTGCAGCATTATTTGTAATAATCGAGGTAAGGAAGAAAATGTCCATTGCTAGATGAAAGAAAATGTTATTTGGTATACAATACATGACATGTTATATATGTGTGTTGCATATATGATATATAATGGAATATTATTCAGCCCTTTTTGATTTTGACCAATTTTTATGGACACTAATGAGAGCTTTGAAACTCAACCCGTCAAAAATAGTCACATCACAGCAGATCAAAGCTTCTGGAGGAGGTGGTTGGTCCGTAATTACTAGTTTATTGTTGTTACATAGCAATGTATTAAATAAGATTAAAGAAAACAGAGTTCACTTGATAATTTATTTTCTTGACTTGCAACACTCTGTGAAGATAATACCCAAGTATCCTTGTTCTCTTTGAGTTTAAATTAGAAAACTTCTGGGCAGGGCTCTCAGACAATCTTTTCCTGGATGTGCAAGACGAGACACTGGTCTACCTTGGAGGAAAAGCTGCCTTTTCTCTAAGTGGCAACATGTGCAAAGTAAACCAAATCCCATCGCAACCCTTCCAGGCAGGTGCACCCGCAGGGAGGCTTGTTATCAAACACGCTGGATTTGAAAATCTAGTTTAACATTTCAAAATCACTTGCACCATCCTAACCTTTGGTCTTAGCTCTTTTTTCTTCAGCACATACCAAGATCTCCATGGCGGGGTGGGGTGGGCAATTTTTTTTAAGATTTATTTATTTATGCATCAAAGAACTGGGGTACAGGACAGAGGTGCAGGGGGTGAGAGGATTCACCAGAGACAGAGTGGGGAACAGAACAGGCGGATTGACTGAAATACACTGCTGAGGGGAGCAAGGGGCAAGACAGGAGAGGTCTGCTGCGCCATGTGGGTTACGTCCCTGGCCAGTGATCAAACTCGTGCTGAGTGGCTGTGGATAGCATCATAGTGCTGCGTCTTAACCCCTTGTGCCCAGGGAGGCCCTGGGTGGGAAATTTTAAAGCAAATAGAAAATAGCGTGAACTGGTTGTGCCCCAGCAATGAAGAATAGCTCCCTGATCCCACCTCTCGCCCTGGGCCTCCACCAGCTACTTCTTGGCCTCTCGGTCCACATCTCTCCACTTACACTCACCCCCACTGCCTGTCCCCCCAGTCTGATGGGCTAACATCAGCTCATCCCACA